CAGTTTTAGTCATACTTTTTTCAGTATTCTTTGATGAATAGAAAGTTTAATGAATCTTTTTTTTTTAAATAACATTTTGTAACATTTTAAATGTATTTGCTATTACTTTTGATCAACTTAATGTGTCTTTTCTGAATAAAATAATTTGTATTTATTCAATCCTCTTTTTTTCAATGTAGTGTAGTGTATCATGGTTTCCACAAAAATATTAAGCAGCAAAAACAGTTTTTAATTGAAAGCTGGTAGGTATTTTAGAGTAAACTACATCCTTTAATCAGCAAGGAACTTTTAAAGAAACAGCCGTAAGCCTTTTACACAGCAGTGCTAATGTGGATACGGCCGAAAAAGAATATGTAGATTGTGATGCAATTCAACATCTTTCTCTCAGGTATCTCTGGTCTTTCTCATAAGCGGGTTGGTCATTCTCGGCTACGCCTCATCAATCAGTCGGCAGAACACATATCATGATGTGGTACGAGAGGTGTGTGGACAGAGGATTGGCCATCTGTGTGAGATCTGCTTTGTTTTCAACCTCTTCATGATCTCTGTGGCCTTTTTGGTGGTAGTGCAGGATCAACTGGATAAGCGTAAGTTGTATGTGTTGTTACTTATGAGTCATTATGTTTCAGTGTGAGTAACTGTAACAGATTAATGTGTGTGTATATATACACATTACAGAGACACAAAGAGATCTTTTATCCTTTTGAACTTAAGTGTCTGTGTGTTTCAGTGTGTCTGTCTCTGTATGAGACAGTGACGGGAAATACAGAAGGAGAGATGCCATATCACTGGTACACAGATCACCGTTTTGCCCTCTTTGTCATGTGCCTCATTATCATCCTTCCACTCTCTATACCCAAAGAGATCGGCATCCAGAAATACACCAGGTGTGTTGAAAGCTTACACATACAGTATATCTGCTACTCTCTAAATCTTTTTAAACCATAGAATTCCAGAATTTAAAGGTCTAGTGAAAAGTACTGCATCACTCTCCCACCTCTGTCCCAATACCAACCTGCTGTATCCATCATTATCTCTTAATATCTCTTTGTTTAATTGCCAGTGTATTGGGAACTTTGGCTGCTACATACCTGAGTGTAGCCGTAATCGCAAAGTATTATCTAAAAGATGAGCACACAGCAGACCTCACACCAGAGCACAGTCAAGGGTGAGTCATATGTTAAGTACATGTTTTCCATAAAGTTGAGTGCATGTGTATATTACTCCTATGAGTTTAATATCGGTGGTTTATTTTGGTTATTTGTAACAGACTGGACTCGTGGGCCTCCATCTTCAGTGTGGTTCCTACTATCTGTTTTGGTTTCCAGGTCAGATTTGATATATATATATATATATAAAAAAACCATTTCTGAAGAGATTCTTTTTTCTATGCATAGATACAATTATTATTTCTTTAAATTAATCGTGCACTATTTGCACATTTCTCTGTTGCACTTTTGACAATTGTGATTGCTGAAAGCTCATATACTGTCATCTTTATTTATATTATAGTGTCACGAAGCTTGTATTGCTATTTACAGCAGCATGGAAAACAAAAAGATTACACATTGGGTTTTCATCTCAGTCACTTCTATGATTTTCTGTCTGCTTATTTATACTCTCACGGGTGAGTCATATTTGTAGAGCTTATTGTTATTGTATAAATATTTTCCAGTGAGTTTTAAATGGAGAGACTGACACTTTGTTACAATATGGCAGGTGTGTTTGGTTTTCTCACATTTGGACGGGAAGTAGCCTCAGATATCTTGATGTCATATCCTGGAAATGATGTAGTGATGATTATTGCTAGGCTGCTGTTTGGTATTTCGATCATCACCATCTATCCTATAATACTGCTGCTGGGAAGGTACCATAAACCACAAATAAATGTGAATAGCTCACTGCACACACACTGTGTACACACACTCAATGATTGTGTCTTGTTTACAGGTCAGTGATTCTAACACAGATATTGCGCTTTTGGGAACAACGGGCCATAATTACATCTGTGTTTGAGAGTCGGTGCCGTCTGATTCTAACAATTCTCTGGATCACTGTGACTCTCCTCATCGCCATATATGTACCAGATATGAGTGAGGTCATCAGCGTAATCGGGGGAATTAGTGCCTTCTTTATATTTATTTTTCCTGGTGAGACACTCAATTAAACAATTACAATCTCACCAGCACACACGCATGCATTCATACCTTACCGTTCAAAAGTTTGCGGTTGGTAAGATTTATCTTATGCTCAACACAGCTGCAGTAAAAACTGTGATATTGTGAAATATTATTACAATGGAACTCTTTTCTATTTTAATATATTTTGAAATGTAATTTGTTCCTGTGATGGCAAAGCTGAATTTTCAACTTTTGAACGATAGTGCACGTACATAAAGACTCAAACAGACCATGAGATGATATTGGCCAAACTGATTTTTTGCAGGGCTGTGCCTCATTTTTGCCATGCAGACAGAACCTATAAATCACAGGATGAGGTGAGTAACATCTTATGTATGTTAAAGGGGTCATAGGATGCTACATGCACTTTTACATGTTGTT